GGGGGGGGCAATCACTTTTTCACACAGGGCCATGTAGGTTTGGATTTGTTTTCCCCCTTAATAATAAAAACCTTCATTTAAAAACTGCATTTTGTGTTTACTTGTGTTATCTTTGTCTAATATTTAAATTTGTTTGATGATCTGAAACATTAAAGTGTGACAAACATGCAAAAAAATAAGAAATCAGGAAGGGGGCAAACACTTTTTCACACAACTGTAGGTGCACTAAAATTTAAGTGTCTGCCGAGTTGACCGCAGTCTCGCAGTCACAGGTCTGATGAAGAAGCGCTCCATTTATTTTATTAGTTTAGAAAGTTCGGGGGCATTTTTTGCCCCTGCCCTAGTGATATCAGGGGCAAAATTATATTTCTTAGTAGCAGTTTTGCCCTTTACCCTTGTGTATTTCCGACGCTGAACACAGCAGACAAGAAGTTTTAGGTTTCAGACCAATACAAAAGGCCTTTTTCACAGCAGACATGTTAACATGAATGATCAATCCAAGTGTCCCAGTGAGCCACGACAGGGTTCAACATCAATGCTTGTTGTCTATTTGCCCAAAGTCAATTTTTACTTGCCCCTAAACGATTTTTTTAATGTATTATTGATTATCAAAAAACGACTAAAGTTAATTGTCATGTTTCATTATTATTTAAGTAAATTAATCCGTTTTGTTTCGCCCACATCCTCCAACTCCACCCAACTAAAATTGCGCTTCAGATCCTATATTTTGTCTTTACCCGACCTCCATTTATCTTGCGAATCCCCGATCAATACTAAGTTTTATTTCAAGGCGAGGTACATTACAGCTAGGACTGGAACTGAAGAACCGTAAATCTTCTACACATTTCAATGTCTCAACTGTTTTTTCCCCCCCAAACAAAGTCACACTGCGGTCTAACCTCGAGGGGTTCCAAGAGATGCAGCTGCAGCTGAGCTTGCAGGAGATCTCGTGCTGCAGGGACCACTGACTCAAGTTCATCACGTCGGGGGCCTCGTAGATCCTCACCACTCCGTCCGCGGAGCAGGTGGTCAGCATCAGGCCCATGTGTTTAGGGGCGAACTTCACATCGGTCACCGAGGTTCTGCTGTCCACTAGCGTGGTTCTCTTTATCTAAAAACGGAACAGCGTGGAAACTATTTGGTCAGGTTCGAACAGACAACTGTAGAAAAGTCTTTTTAATACATCAAAAATAGGGACAACAAACTAAATATATTATATAATATATATTTGTTGCATTAGCGAAATTGTAAATATTGCTGTTAAAGTCAGAACCGGAAATAAAGCTGCACTGGCTAATTGGCACTGGCAGCTAAGCTAATTAAGTTATTTGACTTTGGGGTGAAAACATAACCGTCAACATCACAAACAAATACATTCAAACTGACAAAGAACCAGATGAACCTGAACAGAAAAACAAAAAGGAAATTTGTGAAGTCTCCAGAGGAGAAGTATCCCGGCATCTTTGTGCTGGAAGTAAAATTATACTGCAAAGCATCCGCAACACACACATAACATGTGTACAAGTCGCTTCATTATTCGGCTGACGTATACAAGGCGACTTAAAATGACAACAATAGTTTCAGCTTCGATAACCAGAAGCTGATGCCTGGTTTCCAGCCTGATAACCAGCCGTGATGCTACTAACCCAGTGGCTCAGTCCTCTCTGCTTGTCGTTGGACTCTCCCACAATCTCTTCCCACACAGCAGCTGTCCTGTCGAAGGAGCACGAGGCCAGAACCTGCCCGAATTCTGGATGAGCCCAGGTCACTCTCCACACTGATCCACTGTGTGTCTGCACACAAGAGAATACATCTTTTGACAAACCAATAAATCATAACACTAATTTACATTTCAAGCTGTATCTATATCAGTAAGACCACAAGAGACACAGAGTAGGACATAAATTGATATGCTGTTATGCAAGCACACTGTCTTATAGACTCAGATTTGACCAGAAAAGCCTTTAATGGTTAAAATGAATGAAGCAGCAGGAGGCTTACCTTCCAGCTGGCTGTGCAGTGCCACTCTCCATTCTCACTTTTATCCCAAACCTGAGAGAAAGAAGATGTGAAACAATGATAGGAAATATTGCTGAGACGATAGGCTCTGTGTGCACGCTTGTGGAGCTGGTAACATGGGACCTTCAATGACATTCCTAAGGTTTACAACTACAAGTAATGTTAGGTAACATTTACTAAATTACAGGTGTAACCTTACTAAACATGCACGGGGTATTTCTGCAGTGTTTACATTAGCTACACAGCTTAAGTTACCTACAGCTAACGTTACCCTAGCTTGTATGCTACAGGCAAACTAGCTAAATGTAATAAAGTGAAATTGCATGCAATAGTCAGAATTAGCAACAGATTTAGCAAATTAACTAACGTAACGTCTCTCAACAAGTGGTGGGAGATAGACAGCAAATCCAATAACGAGATACGGGTGTTTATAACAGGCTAGTAGCTAACGCTAGCTTGTTAACATTAGCAAACTGCTGAATAATACGTCATGTTAACTGACGTTACCTTGACACTTTGGTCACTGGAGCAAGTTGCCATTCTCCGGCCGTGGAAATCATACGACACATCGTGAATTAGATCTTTATGATCTGCTGCAATACTACGCGCTACAAACATGATTATATCCGGCTAGCAGCAAAACTAGCTAAGCTGGTTGCTTTGTAGGCCTGTCATGTGTCTGAACGTAACTTGTGTGCGCGCGCGTGTGCGTGTATAATGTTTGGCGGGTCCTCGTAGTGTGCAGTGTGTGCGCATTACCCGACTTGACCACAGAGGGGCGCATTCAAACCAATTTTTGTTTAATCCTGTGGGTAAATCATGTTTTGAGTTACTTTATGATAAAGTCTATGTTGAAACTTGTCGTGTCGAATTGAACAGCAACCAGAATATAATTTGGAAAAATGTGAAAATGCAAAGCTGAGAAATTAGTTTACTCTAACAATTTACACTTTAGCTCCACTACCAAGTAAACTGCCCTCCTCCTCCGTTCACAGGGGTTGCCAAGTTTGGTGGAGTCTTTATCTATATTTTGTATTAACACTCATATTGAACACTTTAAGACAAGAGATCTGTGGCAGAAGTGTTTGTCAAATGTTTATTTTGTATTGTGTGGTGCTTTATTTGTCATTCTAATCATGCCTTGTGTATAATGTGAAAAAACTAGGGTTGAACAAACTTTCATAATTCAATAGTTTACTGCAAGAGTCAGTGTTGACACATGTCGATATATATAATAAAACATCCACAATATGTTTGATACAGCAATATGTGATTACGTCTTTTTGTTTTTGGTAGGTTGACAAAATCACATAACTGGCAACCCAGTCAGTCAGCGTGCATGCGGTATTGTGTTGAGCAGCAGACTCCCGGCAGGGATCCCCAGGGTTACACACACAGCGCTGTTTAGATGGCTGACAGAAAGGAGTAACTTAGTGAACGGTGCTGCATATACTCTGTGATCATCCAGCAAGTGTCTCGGGGCACGAATAACGACACAATGGAGGAAGAATTTGAAGATATCGATTCGTCCGGGAGATGGCAAAACCTCTTCAATGTAAGTCGGGACACTGGCCTATCGTGTTTCTATGACGATCAGTTGCTAACCTAACGTTAGTTGGCGAGCTAATTGGTTAGCTAACCCGTTAGATTCCTTTCCCAGTATTTGGTTACTTTTAGCCCTCTAGTCGACTCAGTTACTTGTGGTGACTTATAGACTTCATCACGTCATGTAGAGTTTATGTACAGTACTATGCACGTATGTAGGACGAATGAGAAACTAGCAGTCCGCGCTAGTAGTCCCTGACTTCCGTAGCTAGAAAGCTTGTAACGTTAGCAAGAAAACGTGCAGCATAGTTGAGCTCGGTTAGCTAGCTAATGCTGGATGACGCTCGCAAACGTCAGCTGCAGTTTCTGAGAACTCATCAGGACTTCCAGAGAATAGCGTATGTGTTTCACCACCAGCTGTCTGAGAGAGCCCAGCATTTATAATATTTCTGTTCCGGTTGTTGAACTCTGGCTATGGCCGTATAATAATCAGCTAGCTACTAACCCGAGGATAACATGCAATTGGAGAGGTTTTGTAGCTAACAGTTAACGCTGCCCTGTTTGGAAGTTACAGAGAAACACACGTAAACAATCACTTTATAGATTAAAGACGATTATAAATATAGTAGATGGCTAAAGCTGGATAAACTGTCCCGGGCTTGTATATAAATCTATTTTGATAGAGTACTAATGAAGTCAAAGGTCTAAAACTATGCAGAGTGTAATAAGTATATCATGAGAGGGGGAATTGCTTTTCTCATGTTTGACTAACTATCAGATCCGGTAACTAAATAGATGGTAATATTGACATAAGTGAGTGTGTGTTTCAGTTAAAGGTATAGTCTGTGGCGCATCTACAGTTTATGTTAATTAGTAATAATAATCAAAATGCATGTAAACTTGCTATATAACATTACGATTCCATGCTATACTTTATCAGTTTTTTTTTTAGTTTTTTTTTTTTTTTTATAATGCCGTTCTCATTCCTTTAAGGTCATTATAACTGATACTAAGGATCATAATATTTATAACAGTGTAATACTGCAAACTGATATTTTCTGTGACGGTCATCGTACTGTGAACATCTTACAACCACAGTTCCTATGAATCTAGCACAGCATACATATTGTACTAAAGACCTTTTCATCATTGTGTGGTATGCACATTAGTGTTGGCTGTATTACCGGCCTCCACTTCAGTCAGACAGCAGGTGTATGTTATACGTATGCACCGGTTTGTTTCACAGCGTGTGTCCCACCGCCGTTGGTTCCTCATCAACGTAATGGGACACTCCTAACTTCCCACTTGTATCTTTTGTTTCTGGTCTCTGGCAGGAGATCCGTAACCAGGCCAGTGAATATCCCTACAAAGTGGCGAAGCTTCCAGCGAATCGGAATCTGAACCGCTACAGAGACGTCAGCCCATGTGAGTCATGAGACGGACGAGGTTCTTAATATACAACGTGTGTTCTTGCGAAGTGAGCGACGTCTTTGTGATTTGTAATCGCTCCGTGTTTGTCTCCACCTGGTTTCAGACGACCACAGTCGAGTGAAACTCGAAAACTCTGAAAATGACTACATCAACGCCAGTTTAGTCATGGTGGAGGAAGCCCAGCGAGCCTACATTCTCTCTCAGGTACGGCTTCGGCACAAGCAGTGTCTGCATAAGTAAACATTTAAAAGAAGAAGAAGAAGAAGAATGTGCAGGATTTCACTCTGATGTTTACGTGAGCTTTTGATAATGACAGGACTTTTTTTCTCTCTGTATATTTCTTTCTTTTGTGTCCACAGGGGCCTTTGAGGAACACCTGTGGTCATTTCTGGCTGATGATTTGGGAGCAGTGTTCCAAAGCTGTTATAATGCTCAACAGAGTCATTGAAAAGGAATCTGTGAGTAGATCTTCTTGTTTCCAGGTGTCAGATCTTGATAGCGTTAGCTGTAGATGTTCCTGCGACACACAGAGCACTTTGCATACATCGTCTATGGTTGTCTACTTTATCAGTCATTCTTAAGGCTGGAAATATATGAGCTACTGGTTTTACTCAAATGAATGCATTCAAGAACATACTGTACCTTCCAACTTTAGAAAAGGTCTGCCTATTCTGGTCATCTATTGAAGAACACTTCATCATTATGCTTCATCAGTCCTCTATAGCTATTTCTCAAGAGTCTGTTAAGCCCCAAATGATCCCCTCCTCTGCTTTGAATAGTGATTTGTGTCCGCTGTCATTTCTTTCCACTAAGAAAAGATGGAAGAACCTCGTTAAAAGTCACATCTACTCCTTCTGAAAACTAGAATCTATGAAGATGCAAATATATACTGTACTATCTTTTCATCTCAAAAGTTTAACTGCTGGACACGAGATGCCTCCTACTTCACTTTAAAAGTGCGTGCACTGGAGGTTTTAAACTTTCCACATTGTACTTGTGTAATGATTGGCTTCCAAACTAACTAAGATTCAAAGGAACAGTTCACCTCAAAAATACATATTTTTCCTCTCTTGAATATAATGGGACTAGATGGCACTCGGCTTGTGGTACTCAAAGTGCAAAAAACATTTGGGAAACTCCAGCAATGTCTCTCTCCAGAAAGCATGACCCGGTTACTCAAGCTAATCTACAAGCTCATGTAGGAACTATTTTCTTTCAACCATAGCAGACATCTCTACTACCAATATAGCCATAGCTAGGCAACACACACCAAAACAATCTAGACTGATAGGTAACAGGTAAAAGTAAAGAAATATGCATTTATTTATTCTATTTTGGGGTGAACTGTCCCTTTAAGGTGAGCACAGAAAAACTTTCCCCCCTTCAGCCAAAACTTTCATGCTGGCTCTCATCAGGGTTGCAATGCTTTGTGGGAACTGCTTATTTATGACTTGTAAACAAGCTGCCGAGTCCTATCGGGTATAGTATCTCAGCACTATTGACTGTAGTGACCCTGAGGGAAAGTAATGTGATCCAAAGTGTTATTTGTACACAGTGCATTCCTTTACATTGGTAGAGAAGATGGATTCCCTGAATTCATGCAATCTTCTTGGGAATGAAGTCCGCCATGGATCCTCAATCAAAGTGCTTTCATCCCGCAAGACTCCACTCATCCTTCAGAGGCCTGGGGGGAGCAAGTGGCTTTCTTATCCAAGACTAACTTAATTCATTTCTTTGTCTCAACAGGAGAAGTGTGCACAGTACTGGCCCATCACAGAGGAGCTGCAGATGTCTTTCACGGACACAGGGTTCGTTGTCAGGCTGCTTTCAGAGGAGGACCGGTCCTACTACACGGTCCGAGTGCTGGAGCTGCAGAACACAGTGGTGAGCACAAGAGGCAAACTATGAGATAGAAACTTTTTTTTATAATGCCGAGTAGTTTGATCTTTAGAGTTGATATTTTGTCGGTGGGGGAAAACGCTTTGTGTCTAGTTGTGGAAAAGTTCAGAGTGTTAACTGTGTAAAGAATCCGTTCTCCCTCTTGCTTTGCTTCTGTCACTTTATCCAGATTTAAATTTTCCGGACAGCTACTGGCTCTGAAGTTTACTTAACCTCTCTCAGCTCGCGTTATCCCGCGTGGTCGTAGCTGTTGTGAAGCATCTCAGCCCGTGGTTGTACTTGTCTTTTCAATGCGACTTTTGTCATCCGATCTTGCCAGGACCAGTTCTGATAGTTAGCTGATCCGAGACCGGATCTTGCTTGCGTTACTTGGGGGCATGTGTGTGTGTCCACTGCCTGATCGGATACAGATAGGATAAAATTTTGCGGTCATAGGAGCGGCTGTAAAATGGTGGATTAACAGGTTTCATTTCCTGTCAAGTCTTTTTTTCTGCTTACTTCCTCCCTGCAGTATTGGTGGACTTGTTATAGCTTGTTAACGAAGCTCATGTCATTCGGCGATAAGCACATATTCCTCAAAGTTCTCCACAATATACCCCAGTACCCATTCTGCACACTATTTAGTATGCCAGAAAAAAGATGTAGTGTGTATTTGACATACTATGTTACATAGTATGTCAAATGCAGCATGCCAAAACATACCAGGATGTCCTTCTGCATCCAGTCACATTTTGCACTGTGCAAGTCAGCATGCTGTTCTGGGGATTTTTACCCACAATCCTCTGCACAGCGGATACATGAGCAAGAGGGTCAAGATGCAATGTTATGACGAAGTAGTATGTCCCTATTGAATGCACACTGCATGCAGCAGTACGTACTTTGTAAGGGCAGCAGCAGTACGTACTGGAAGTAAAAAGAAAAGATTAGAGATTTGGAACACAGCTCGGGTCTCAGCGCTGGTCTCCTCCCCTTTGCTCTCCTCGGGAGAAGAACTCCAGTGTGGAGGGAAGACGATATGGAAGTTTTATAAATTGTGCAGATGCTGTCCAAGCCTCACTGATATCCAATCTCAATGCGAGCCGGGCCCACCTCTGCATGTGGTCTGGCTGATTTGAACAGACGAGTGCAGCCACAGCTTTAGTCTAAAACGTATGGAGATGATCGGTGCTCTGCTTGACGGGTGGGGGGGTGATGTTTTTCCAAGTGACAAATCAGCCTCGAGTCATGCAGAACTCTTGTCTCCACAATGCTGCTAAACACGGCCTGACATCACATTCCGCTGCAGACGGGGGAGTCGAGGGAGATCTACCACTTTCACTACACCACGTGGCCTGACTTCGGTGTCCCGGAATCCCCGGCCTCCTTCCTCAACTTCCTCTTCAAGGTCCGGGAGTCTGGCTCGCTGGGACCGGAGCACGGGCCCTCGGTGGTGCACTGCAGCGCCGGGATCGGACGCTCGGGGACCCTCGCCCTGGTTGACACCTGCCTGGTGCTGGTGAGGACAGAGAGGAGGAGAGAGGGAGGGGGGGGTTCACATTATGAATGTACTCTGTGATCGGTTTAGAGGGAGAAATTGTTGCATGTTGGGATTATACTTCAGAGGTAATTTTTTAATTTAATCAAAGAAGTGGATTTCAGTGTAAACCTGTGACATTTCTTTTGTGTTTTGGCAGATGGACAGGAGGAAGAACCCGTCTTCGGTGGACATCCAGAAGGTGCTGCTGGACATGAGGGAATACCGCATGGGCCTGATCCAGACCCCCGACCAGCTCCGCTTCTCCTACATGGCCGTCATCGAGGGAGCCAAGCTCATCCCAGCAGTAAACTCAGCAGCCCAGGTAGCTGTTTAAACTCCATTAAATCTGGGATTAACCTTCAATCACGTAGCACTGAACTTTTAAAAAGATTCCATTCAAGCCTCTATTTAAACATCAGTTAGTTTTTCAGTCTAAATTTGGTTAGATTGAATTCTTCTGCACCAAAACTCAAATTTTGATCCAATACGTGATCCAGTATTAACTTTTAACTTACACTTGGGGGGGTTTGACTTTAACAATATCTGCCCATTTTTGAGATGGATTGAGTAAAATCATCCAAGTTCCTCGAAGAAAGTTCAGGGACGGACTCAACCAGCTGAGCTTTATGATGCTGCTGCTGAATTCCTCTCTAGATACCGGTCCAGTAAGGAAACTGTTCTGGAGCTGAAACAGGAAGATTGAACCAACTGGTGGTCTCTTTTCTTTCCTGGCTGTGTTTTTTATCCTATAATATTTGGCCATGTTGATCCAATTATTGGGCCAACAATTTCTTTTTTTTAAGGAGGAGAAATTAAAACTTTTCTGCCGAGTCGACACGAGTAACGTTGGGCTAACTAGCTGACTTTTTAGCTAACTAGCTAACAAACAATGTACCGTTTTATTAAGGACTACAAAGCAGCCTAAAGTTAACGGCCCCCCTCCTCTTGTATAGTTAATGGGACATTACGGCACGCTCATTGTAATTTGGTCAAGCAAGCTTCATATTGATAAAAACAAACAGAGATTCTATTGAATTGTGTGACAGAGCTCTGCTTCATTTTGAATCTGCATTAACTCATTTTAAACCCTAGTTTTGTGAAACTCTGATTAGAACTAACAAATAAAAAAGAAATAAATTAATCAAAATGAATCCTTGTGGCTGCAACCGCGCCTAAAAAAAACAGGCGTTGTTGCAGTATCACTCTTCTGGTTGTTTGTTTTTACTTTAAACCATTATCAGTATCATCATCATTATGCAATCAGCCAGCACACCTGATGTTTACATTGTTTCCTCTACCGGCTCCTGATAACAGCGTGAAAGCAAAATGGATATATTAAAACTGCAACAATGCCCTGTCCTTTTTTTCTTGGGCTAAAATCTGTTAAAATATATATTATTATTATTATTATTATTATTATTATTATTTAAATGTTGTAGCAATACATTTGCCACCAACGGTCTGCCTTTGAGACGGCCCCCATAAAGCAACAACAAACTTAGCATTTCTGTAAGTTCAGCATAGCTATTCTGAAGCTTTCAGTCTGTAAATTGAAATGGTACAAACACAAAGGTGAACTTGCTCTTCTAGAGATTTACTGTGAATAGACGTGACAGTCTCGTGGAGTCCAAAAATATTCTCTCAGCTCGCCAACGTCCGTCCTCTCCGTCGTAACTTTGCGTTTCTGTGTCTCGTCCCCTGTTCGCAGCAGAACAAGCAGACAGGGATGTCCAGAGACGGCTTGGAGGTGCCAGAACTGCCCCCTCCGTCACCACCACCTCCACCCCCACCACCAACTCCACCCCGGCCTCACCTCAACGACAGCATGCCCAACGGTCAACCAGGACCCCGTCTGGAGCTCCAGGCCGCCTCGGAAGACCACCTGTCGGCAGGGGTGCCGGACGGCCACAGCGTGGCAGAGGACTCGGGGCAGTAAGTAGCAAGCTCGCTGTCAGGTCATCTATGCATGTCACCCTTTTAGGACCCCAGAGAAACTGATCCCTGACCCCTCCCTACAGTTCCGTTTCTTATTCTTCTGTAATAATTGAGCTCAGTGTTGATGGGATTCCCACGCCGCCGCTTGCCGACCACTCACCCATTAACCGCCTCTTATTTCAGCATCAGAAAGCGGCACCGCGAGGAGAGGATCGCCAGCACCGCGCAGAAGGTCCAGCAGATGAAACAAAGACTGAGCCACTCGGAGAGGAAACGAGACAAGTGGCTGTACTGGAGACCCATCCTGCTCAACGTCGGCGCCGGGGCGGCCGTGGCCGTCGGCCTGCTGGTGTGCTGGATATACTCCCAGTGAACACACTTTGGAAAGAAAACAAAAAAAGAAATGGACTCCTATTTTGCACCAGTACCTGGGATTAGGTACTCCCCTAAGTAGACGTAGACGGTAACACGAGCATAACTGAGGGTATTTATTTCTTAAGGTCAGAAATTGCGGGAGCGCTAGATCAAAAATACGATTGTTTGTGTGTGTGTGTGTGTGTGTGTGTGTGTGTGTGTGTGTGTGTGTGTGTGTGTGTGTGTGTGTGTGTGTGTGTGTGTGTGTGTATTTTTCATGTTAAGATCTTAACAAACAAAAAAAAAATTAGTAACATCTCAGGATCTTGGTGCCAGCACGACGATTTCATTTTCCTTCTTGCCACTCGATGAATGTACTGTATCATAGTGAACCGCTTTGAGAGCAAACTTACGAAAGGTGCAGTGCGAAGCAAGAGAATAATAATAACTCTGACGCGTTTAGTTTTTTCCTTATTTGTAACGGTCAGGTGCGTGTCGATCGTCCGTGGACACCTTTAACATTTCAAATGACTTGTTGCGTTGACTGTCCGCCCCACCATGAGACCCCAGAGTCTAGAGCCAAATAGTTGTTTTTTTCTTCAATGAAATGTGCATATCATGCACACATTTAGAGGTTTTTCCAGAGCACCACTTGTTCTTCCACTCACATTTAGCAGGGCATCCCGATACGGCCAGATATATATTTTTGTGTGACTGGATACTTCATGGAGAGCTGCCCTGCTGATGTTTCAAACCTCTTTTTTTCTGTTATATGAGCACCTTTTTTCATAAGTTTTGGTTGTCTCGTTCATCGTAAAAGTTCGTCACTGTTTAGTGCGTGTATTTACCCACTGGATGGGTTTATGTGTGTACTTTCAGGGTGTTTTTGTTTTTTTGAGGAAAACCAAAGCAAAGGTGTCTGTAACAGCCAGGCAAGGTGTTAAATGAATGAAATCTTGTCCTGGAATGTATTTTTTCCGTTGGAATCTCTTGAACATAACTGACACAAATATCACGGGCGACTTCTTAATTTGAACACATTGAAGCGGCGACAAATTGGTTGTGAATTGACTGGGACCAATCTAAAGCTATAATGGTGCAATTGAGAAGTTGGAGCAGAGCACCTTGGGATTGTAGTCGGGAGATCGTTAGGTGTTTGATCGCTGGTGGAGATAGCTTTAAATGTGCCTTGAAGTGAATTTAATTAAAAGAAAGAAAACAAAAATGGGTGTGCTCTAAGGTTCCCTAGCATGATCAGATAAAGGTTCACGAGAGCTGCTGTTTCCCACGTAACACATTAGCGCTGCATTCACCGGTTTGTAGCAACTTGAGGTGTGGTACAGGGAGTGGTATCAGGAGTTGATTGTACACCAAATGTGTCATAAGCATGTACTGACCCCTTGAGATGAAATGGGTGTGTGGCTGATTCGCCATTTGCCGCCGTTGGACATGGTTTTGACTCGTTAGCCCAGAAGAGACGCATTTGACCGTAACATTCCATTCATGTTGTTTTTCCACATCTAAGGTTTCAGGGGAGTTTTTGTACACTGCTAAATGCTGCAGTGAGAACATGATGGATGGTGTTTTTGAAAGAGGAAAAAAAGAGCAAACAAAACATGAAATACTTCCTAAAATAAAACATTCATCTTTTTTTTTTTTTTACCAAACCCTTCTTGTCTGCTTGTGTTCTTTCTTTAATCTCTTGTGTCAGTAAAAAGCAGCTTGACAGTGTCCACCACAGCTCTGCTTCCCCTGTGCTGCACTGCTGTGCCACAGTTGTAATTTCATTCCGACCGTGAGCTAAATCAATGCAGCCAGACTAGAGGCCTCCCACCATGGATTCCAGGAATTGATTCAGTATTTCAAAAAGAGGCCTTACTCATATCGAATGCCGTAGTAATTTAATTTTCTCTTGTCTGTGGGATGGAATTGGCGTATGTGGAGAAGGAAGTACTGTATTTGTTGTATTAGCTGTCTACTTGTGTTTCCTTTTGAGTACTATAAACATAACCACATAAATGCTATATATTAGAGAGCAAAAAAACTGAATGTTTTTTATAATATAAAACTAGTTGATTTAACATGAAATAATAACTGGTAAAAAGATGTAACTGGGCTGTTGCAATTTGGACTACAAAGAGGTCCTTTAAGGGTTGTCGTAGCACACGCGACAATAGGGCAACCAATGCAATCCCTGAATAAAATGTCATATTTCTTCAAACGAAATGAAATTAAACGTTCCCTAAAATAAAGGGGGCATCCATTGACAGAGTCCACTCGATCTATATTACTTCGTTCCAGGCCAGAATTGTCAAATACAACAACATTGAGCGCAGGACGCTGTCAGGCATCAGTAGGGCCGTATTCCCGCTTGCTTTTCCGCCACAGTTCAAACTGGCAGTTGTGCTGGTTATGGGTGCTTCTCATCCACCGGCTGTCACACAAATTGGATTATGTTACAGACGACACAATGTTTACAAGTATCGAGTATTGCTCAAACACAAGTGTAACGTTCCTGATAGTACCCTATCACTAACGTAGCTAGCTATTTTTTGCTTGAAAACCAGCTCGAGCTCATCAACTGTTACTGTGATGTCTCTGCCTCCAGAGAAAGCTTCCGAACTGAAGCAAATCATTCGCAACCATCTGCTCAAGGTGAGCGAACTACTTCACTTCTATTTCTGTGCGTGTATGTTATTAAAGAAGGTCATTTTGTGTGCCATAATTCTAGAGATATATGGTTTAATAGTTACGCATGTGTTTTCTTGAAGGGAGGCTGGTACACCAAACGCCATTCAAACTATAGCAAGTTGAAGTCTACGTCCTCATTGAAGAAAAGTGTACACATTATAAATATTTTTTTTAAGATCTGGCACAACTCAACGTAATCTTGTATTAAGTTCGGCTGTACCAAATATGTATATGATGACATTATTTAACAACATTTGGTTGGTATTTTCAAGCGAGTGCACTTTACGCTAACTGCTATTAGCCTGTCTAGCCTACAGAGGTCTGTAAGCAGGCTGTCAAGTACAGAAGAAGTAGGTCAGATGAGTAGAGATGCACCGATACATTAATGGACAGTGTTAGAATTAATGTAATAGGGTATTGGTCCTGTGTGATTAATCCTAGCAACTGGTTCACTATGGGACCACTATTTTTGTCTTTGCATCAAGCTAGTCATGTCTGAAAATATCTACTGATAATAAACCTAATAGGTTACTTCTTCCTCGTGAAGACTTTCAAGACTTTGATCACTGCTGCATTTCACCCACCACCCTCCCAACACAACACAGCAAAGTGGGATGAAGTTTGTCAGTGTGTGATGTCAGCGGTAGTCCAATTTGATCAATGGTGAATCTGCTGTGGGGGTGGGGAAAAGGAGTCTGTCTTAACAAGATATTCTCATACATTGTTGACCCCAGCAGCATCTGCTTGTGACTCTTGTTGAGGAAGAAGTGTGTGAGAGTGGTGTGTTCATCCGGTCTCTTTTGGTCACCAGATGGACATCCACGGGAGGATCCGAGAGGTGCTGGCCGAGACTGTGAGGGATGTGCAAGGCCCGGCACATCGACCGCTGTCTGAGACGGATTTCCTACACGCTCTGCAGCGCAGGGGCATCATAGAGGACGTGATGAAGGACCTGCACTTTACCCAGGTCGAACGACACTCAACGGGCAATTTTTCAGATTTGAATGCTTGACGATTAAGCAGTTCATGTAGATTAATTTGATTCATAACTGAATGTAAATAACAAACTTTCTTAAATAATGTCATACTAATTTGAACCCAGATGCAGATAATAATTTCTAAATTGTACAAATTGGTATCGATTCAATTACCAGCTGACTGTTTTGTTATTTTTGTCATGTTGGTCTGCTTTGGTAGGAAGACACAACAGATGCTGAAACAGGGTCCCCTCCAAAGCCTGCTACTCACTTTGTTGACAAGAATATTACTCCGCTCAAAAAAAGTAAGTAAAGTCCTGTACAACTCCAAATAAACCAACATAATAGCATGGCTTATTTGCTTTCCCTCAAGTTGTCCTTCTTAATTTTGGAACGGTTAAGTGAAGACATTCTTTTCATTCTCTCAGCCAATATTGACCCTTCCAGGCGGCACTTGTACGTCCAAGTGCTTGGCGGTAAGGCCTTTTTGGAGCACCTCCAGGAGCCAGAGCCTTTACCCGGTCAGGTGTGCTCTACGTTGACGCTCTACCTGCACTTCCGCAACCAGAGGTTCCGCTCGAAGCCGGTGCCCTGCGCCTGCGAACCTGACCTGAAGGAGGGTTTCCTCCTAGAGATCCGCAGAGACGGCACAGGTACGTCAGTCAGTCGGGACAGACGGGTTGTTATGGTGCTGCTTAATTAGCTATCTATACTTAGTTTGTGATTCTTTCATTTTTTAAATTTTGGTACCGTAGGTGAGGGCAGTAAAATGGTGGACGCCACCACCATGCTGTCTCTGTGTGACCCGGTTCACTTGGTGCTGATCAGGACGGACACCTCCGGTGAGACGGAGCTGGTCTCGTCCTACTTCCTGGACTGGAGGGCGGTCCTCGGCTCGCCCAGCGGGAAGACCTGCTTTGCCATGGAGCTGATGGGAGTTGGTGAGGAATCTGTGATTCTGCTGCGGTGAATGCAGGAGTGACAGTGTGATACTGAATTATGAATGTGCTTATTTTTTTTAAAGGTTACATCTCTACGGCGAGGAGTGAAGAATGATTAATGCCGTTCATTGGTAGAGTAGAGGAGTTTATTGTTGTTGCATACACAAGTGCCCTGCTCAGACTGTTGCAGTGGTGAAACAATTGCATTCCAAACAAAGAATATCTCCTCTCCCATACTAACCTTTATTTATAAAATCAAAGTCACAAAAATCTCCTTTCCTAAAATTTTCATAATCATCCAATCGGAAGACGATGTAATTCGTTTTTTAAAAGCCTTTAAATGATCATACAATAAGCAGTAAAATAAGTCAATTGTGCACACACACAGATGTTTTGGTTTCATTATTTTTTGACATTATGCTCTACATTAGTGTAGTATTATGTACCAACTAGGCATAGGATGATCTAAAAATGATTGTGATATATATATTATCCCGATAATCGTCAACAGTTGCTTAAATTCTCTTCAAATGACACTCAAACATACTGGAATCACTTGACCTTACATTCTGTTATTGCATCACAGATAGGTCACTATTGATGTTCACTTTTTTTAAGTGAACATCAAGTTTGGTGAAAAATAAACAAGCAATATTAAATAAGGTAATCATAAGATCCCCTTCCATGAATAAAGAATAAATATATTTAAAAAATATTGTAATTTATACGATTTTGTTTACGAATAGGTTTATTTACACATCCATCAAGTAATTGGCCTTTTTAGAAACTATTCTGAAGTAAACTATAAATTGCATGTATTGTAATCTACTATAAATCATGTTCATCATCCCGGCTACACAATGAAAACTCTTGTGTTTTTTGCAGTCAAAATACACAGAACACATCGTTCCCGACCTTTCTGGCTGGTGAGCCCTTAAAGCATTAAAAGCTGCCTGCCTCCAACCCTTTTGAAAAACATTTACAGTAATACTGTGAAGAGGCCATAACATGTAGACTTCTGTAGTATTTTACAATAAAGGTAAGAGAAAATTAAATCAAAATAACACAAACCATATTTATTGTCTGGTTGATTATCCTGTGAATCCATGGAGGGGTTGGAGCCCCCAGGCTGGAAACCAACGCTGTACAATGCTAACGGTTCTGTCTGTTTACCACCAGTAAATTAGTCTGCGTATGCTAGAAATATATGTTTTTCGAAAAACTTCTGCGGTTCGTTCGTAAGTGTTGCAGCAACAAGCTTCCAGTAACATGTATGCGTGTGTGTCTCCAGGAAGTGAATGCAAAGTCCCGGCTGGTGTTCTGACCGTCAGTCTGGAGCTCTACCCTCCTCTCACAGAGACTCTGAGCGCTGCCGTCATCAGCACACAGGTCAGCACGCCGGAGTCTCTTCGTCTGTGTTTTATTATTCGCCGGCTTCAGTATTCATTAATAAAACGGCACCGTGAGACAACAGAGAATCATCGACGCTGTTGAAAATCGATCTTCCTCAGAGCCGGTCTAGAGGCAGCATTGTAGCTATATGTAGTAACTGATGTCACTGTGTGCTTCTCATTCAGCAATCACTGGAGAGGCAGAGGACGGCAGAGAAGGAGAGGCTCTTCTTGGTTTATGCCAAACAGTGGTGGAGGGAGTTCCTTGAGATACGTCCATCAAACCAATCCAAAATGGTCAAGATCTTTGCCCAGGTTCGTCTAAATTCAACCCTTATATGACATGGTTTTTGTACTTTGAAGGACATTTGTTTCTCGACACGTTTTCTTTTTTTAGACCTGAGGACTGAATAGATGTGTTGCATGTACTGTATAAGCAGACACTGCTGAGGGAGTTCCTCAGAACAACCTAATTCATTTGTTTCCCTGGTTTAGTGTGTTAGTGTTTTGGGGAGAGGACTTCTCATATTCCTAACCAGTTTAGGGAATATTGAATCCTGAACTCCTCGAATTCATATCTGCTCCAACCTGTCTCATTGTGTGTGTGTGTCTGTCTGTCTCTGCAGGACGAGAACGGCGCCAACCGGCCGACGTGTTCTTACGTGCGTGTTCTGCGGGCGGGCCGTCTGCTGGAGAGCCCCCGACAGGCGGCCCGCTTTGTCAGCCTGCTGGCCCACGAGAAGGCCCCAATGGTGGGAGGAGGAGGAGGAGGCAAGCAGGAGCAGTGGTGCTCATTAATGGCTTTCCTGTGTAGAGGGAAGGTGAGGAACCGGCCGACGTCTTGGCAGTAACAACAGAGATGGGTTCATTTTTCAGAAGACAAATGCACTTACTGTGCTGCTAGATCTGAACTGTCAAAGACAGAGACAATGGCAGAGTTATGCACACCACGGTTCCTGGTAAAGCTGGGGTAGGCAGGTTTTATCTTTGTCCCGAGGCAAAAAAACAGCGCTAGCTGTTGAGCATATCAACAAGTGCAGACCAGATTTTTACTGCGCTTGTCTTGACACTCTTTTTCACTTCCTTGGCTCTCGGCTGCTGTTGGCAAAAGGCTAAACAATTCGCAACATTTTGTCTCCATCTCTCTGCCAGTTAAGCCTTCTACTAACTGTAGCCTTATGCGCTAGTGATTAAGCAGAGTGTAAGCAGTAGTGTTGCCCAAAGTTTAGCAGAAAGCTAAACTATTAGCAACATTTTCTCTCCATCTCTTGAAGAGTTTAGCCTTCTGCTAACCGTAGCTAAAGGCTGATCCTCAGGCGCTGGCAGAAGGCTCAACTCTTTGCAACATTTTCTCTCAATCTCTCTATTAGTGTATCCTATTGCTAACCATAGCCAAGGGCTTAGATGCCATTTTCTGTCCATCTCTTTAATAGTTGAGCCTGTAGCTAAAAGCTTAGCTGCAGCCTTTAGCAGAAGGCTCAACTATTAGCAACATTCAACACCAGCACATACAGCATCAGAGAAAATCACTGAATAGATTCAGAGTTACAGTTTTTTAAAATCATCTGTAATTCATTCTATTGATGAGGATGTGTGGTAAAAGAAGAGACTGATAAGATGAGAGGAACAGTGTGAGAAGAATTATAATCATTAAAAGTGAAGTGAATGCATGATACGTGATCTGCAGAATGCATTAAAAGGTGTCGTTGACTGTATCCCCATATAACCTCAGTCTGCCCCCGCTAACTAATATCAATGGTGTCCTAAAACAATTTGTTCCCAGAGTCAGAAGGCATCACATAAACTCGGCCCAGCTGCGTTTACATTCACTCCACTTCTGAGCACAGCTGATTGTGTCATTTCTGAGAAAGAGGGATTTGCGCAGAGTCGACTGACTGATGCGTTTTCATCACTGCTAGATAGCGGGGATTTTCCCAGACCCACCACAGGATAAATGTTCCCTGCCTCTCCTCTGTGAGCGGCTGGCAGGACAGACACAACGCAACTCTCGCAAAGTGGCCCTAGTCAGCTGTGATTTATGGGTTTCATTCCAGGGAAAATTAATTTAGCCTCATCAGTCCCCAGCCTGTTCCGATGCTGCCGTCCATATTAGCACTTCTGGGGAACATCTATCATTCTGACTTGCCAGTAGCCCAAGCCAGCATACAGCCGCAGCACAAACCCAGGCCTCTCTACCGGAAAACATGTACGAGTGAAATAAGACTTGCTTACTGCCACGGGCAATCTCCAGCAGACTGTTCTTGTCTGTGTTCAACACTTGAGAAAGACTAACAGTGCAGAGAAACCCGAATGTTGTATTTCTGTTTAAACAGACTGGTCTAATTCATCATGCAGTGACATGTTGAATTAGTCAAGCAGATGGTATGAGGACGGTCGTAAACATCTTCAAATCTGTCTCAATATTGGGAATTGGAATATGTCAATACTTCTAAAAAAAATAGAGATCAATATTTTGAGAATAAAGTTGTAATTTTTCGAGAATCAATTTGTTTAATTTTTAGAATAAAGTTGGAACATTTCGACAATAGTTATATAGAATTATAGGCATAGTTGTAATTATAGGCATATGAAGTCACAATATTTTAAGAGTATTTGCATTATAAAATCTGAATAATTCATGAATATAGTTGTAATGTTTTAAGATGTTAATGCTCAAATACGCTGTCGCTCATTTTGCCGCGTAGCCAACCTCAAAGAAAAATGGAGGCTTATTTGAGAATGGAAATGAATTCTTAGACTTTAAGAATATGGATTTATGATGTGTACCTAAATAATGGAAGTTCATAGGTCTACCTACTAGGATGTGGAGCCTCTGTGAGTGGAGCTCACTAGAGCCTCATTGCTTGTCTCACTAGGGTTAAAAGAATCCGTCATACCTGTGCAGCTCTAAAGTCCTGTTGCTCTGGAAGAACTGACTGTAAGAGAGCTCTGAACACTAAACAAACTGTTGATAATGTAGTTTCAAAGGACCTGAGCTCATCCCTGTCTGTGCTCCCCAGGGGGACTGCGAGGACCACGCCGCCCTGCTGTGCAGCCTCCTGCTGGGCTTTGGCCTGGATGCGTACGTGTGCGTAGGCACCAAAGCCAAGGCAACGCCCCACACCTGGGTCCTGACCCGCGGCACTGATGGGAGCATCACCTTCTGGGAGAGTCTGACGGCACACAGGTCCTTTTTTCTTTTGTTGTTCAGACAGCCGATAAGTTGTAACACAGCTGCTTTTACTGCTCCCCCTTTAATGTGTAGGATACAAAAGATGTATGCACACATTTTTATTTAGTAACTGCTCAAACCAAACACTGAGGAATCATTTGAACTACTTTTGTTTTGCATCAGTTTAGCTTATGAGCCAGTCTTTGTGTTAGTCAGCAGGATATATCAGAAAGCGGTTCCATAAATTGTCGCAGTCAGACTCTGGGCTGAGAAACAGTTACATTTTGGTGGTTATTTAGTTCTGGAATTTTTGTCCATAACTCACTGATCTTATTATGAAGACAGACTTGATTTCATCTCTTCTGTTGACAGGCTCTGGTTGGTATTATAAGTGTCTGACATTATGGCAAGAGTCTCGCTTAAAGAGAAGTCTCCTTCTGAAATCTGGTGACGTCATGTGTTGCCGGGAGAAAGCGGAAAAGTGTCGGCTTATTGTGTTGAGGAGAGAAAACGTAGCTTAGTGTTTCAATGTCATGGCTGAATGTTTAGCTGATTTGGACACCGAGGATGAGGTCTTTGTATTTATGTATTGTATTGTGCTGTACAGTGTTGCACTATAGGGTTTGATGTTGAATTGTACTGATAATATTAGGACACTAAATTGTATTTAAAAGAATTGCAATTAAAGAAATTGTTGTCCCGAGTAGTCACTTAGACACAAAATCATGGGAAAACAGGGTCCAGGTTGAAAGTTATTCTTTAAGTCGCGCCCTCAAAACAGCATGGCCTCTTGGATTTGATGATAATGGCTTTTCTTTCAATTTTGTTAATGTGTTTGTCTTGACAGTAATTAGCCTTGAACTCCCATATGTGTGCTCAGATACCTGCACCGGGCCATAGACCCGGATGCCCCGCCCCTGGCCCCCCAGCCCAAACCCTCCTCCCCCTACCGCACTGTGGGCTGCGTCTTCAACCACCAGACCTTCCTGGCCAACTGCCAGCCCTCCGACGCTGTGGAGATTTGCGTCTTTGACTTCCAGGTAACAGAACGGTGTCCCTCACACGTCTCTCGTGTGTTACTTATATGTCCATTGTTGTATTTATTGACTATTAAAAAATGTCATCATGCTTGCCGCAGTTGTTTTCTCTGCCAGGTATTGTGTTAACAGTGTCAATATATTTATACCGCATATTGAATCTGCCAGAGAAAATCTAGTGCAATGTGGGAGTCAGACAGCCTGGAGCAGAGAGCAGTGGGCGGGTGCCAGGGAAATGAAATCGGCAACAGTTCCATTCATCAGCAACTCACCGTCCTGTCGTGTTACCCTGAAGGCTGGCAGCGAAGCCCCAGCGGCTACACTCTAGTGGTTCTTTTTCTCCAGAATAAAGATAAAAGCATCAGCTTCATTTTTTTCTTTTCCCCTCCTTCTTTTCCTCCAGAATCAGTCTCGGTGGAAGGCGATGAGCGAAGAGGCTCTGAAGTCCGTTTGCGCCCCGGGCTCCACCGCCTCTCTGCCCCCTCTGCCTCCACTCTGTGCCCCATCTCTGGATCCGGCTGCTGCCAGCAACCAGCTGGAGCTGGAGATGCGCTTCCTGGTTTCCGAGCACAGGAAGGTAAGACACAATGCTGGACGAGATGAGGACACTTAGAGTCTGGGAGTTTTAGGTCACGTATGAGTCACTGAGAAATGCCACTGCTTTATTTTAGCTGGATTCAGGACTCTTTTAAGTGTGAGATTTACTGGGCAAAGTGTTGAGCTCTGTGGTGCTCTCTCTCTTCCTCTCTCTCTGTCTGTCTGTACTCCAGGACCTGGAAGTGGCGACCGTGTGGGACGACCACCTGTCCTACCTGCTGTCCTCGGCGCTGTCGGCCTACGAGCTGGAGCGCTGCACCGGCGTCTCGTGCGGCAACGAGGAGTTCCAGGACGCGGTGAGGAGGGCGGTGCCGGACGGGCACACCTTCAAAGGCTTCCCCATCCACTTCTTGCACCGCAATGCTCGCAGAGCCTTTGCCACCTGCCTCAGGTGAGCTAGTGCGTGGTTACGGTGAACGCGTGGTGAGAAGAATCCCTCAATCTGATTGTTCAACCCCTTTCAGCGAGGAGGTTGTGGGACCATTTCGACAAATTCTGGAAAGTAGCATGCTTGTACTGCAGTGATCGAAGCCCGAGGCAGCACTGCAAAAAGCCTGCCATTTTCCCCCGTGAGACGATTTTGTTTGCACTATACCTCAGGCTTAGGGCAGCAAATCCCCACCAGCTGCAGCGTATTGTAGCAGATCCTGAACTAAGAGCTCCCTGTAGAGAGAGAAGAAAATCTCCCTATAGGAACAACATTCCACGTCTCTCTTACAAATCCTGCCAGTATTGAACACACAGTGCTCCACTGTGTCCTGAGCTCCTGGCTACAGAGATTGAAATCTGGCTTAAGAGTCGTCACCCCCCCCCCCCCGTCTGGTTTCTGTGCCTGCAAGGGTTCCTGATAGGGTTGCAAAATCACAGAAATATTCAAGGTGGAAACTTTCAAGAGGAATCAACGGTAAATGATGGAAATACAATGTTGATCTAGGGGTTATTTGCTCAGGCTCTATTTAGCATGTCATATGCAGATAGACACAAAACATCTGACATCATAAGCAGTTTGATTGACCCTCTGAAGCCCTTTGTTCATGAAGACAACGCTCTTTGACGTTAATTTGCCAAATAAATGTGTGTGGCGTGTTTGCTAACACGGACAATCTTAGAAATAAAAGGTACGAACTAGAACCACGTAGGTTCCACCTGGAACCCTTCAAGAGGGTTCTACCTAGAAGCATGTAAAGAGTTCTACCTAGAACAATCTGTGGAAGGTTCCATCCAGAATCCCCTGTATAGAGGTTCAACAGAGAACCCTTCTATGGTGTAATGGTTAGACCCAGAACCCTCTCCAGAGGTTCTATCCAGAACCTTTCCACCTTCTAAGGGTGCTAAGACGGGTTCCATCTAAAACCCAACCTGGGGGTTCTATCGCCATGTTTCTACAGTAGCCCTGAACGAACCAACCAAACTCTGGCTCTAGAGGGCCTTTAACGTTTTCACGTTCCCTAAAGACCACTGTAGTTCTCTGACATGCTGGGAAAGGGAGGAATAAGTGGAGAGAGATGTAGTTGGTTGGAGGAATAAGTGGAGGGAGATGTAGTCGGTTGGAGGAATGAGTGGAGGGAGATGTAGTTGGTTGCAATCTGCAACTCAACCAACAGATGCCGCTGAATCCTACACACTGGTCCTTTAACTAATAGGGGAAACTGGGATTTGAACATTCGAGCCAACATGGGCTATGTGCAAAACAAAAGGTTTAAAGAAAACATCTAATTAATATAAACAAAATGGTTTATAATACAGAATGAATGGAAGCAGCCTGCTGGTTAACTGAGATATCATATAATATATATAAAGTCACTCCAGTATATCTAGTATTGCTTTTAATTGAAATGAATGAAACGTAAAGCTTTGCAGTGCATCATATGTTGTGTCTGTTGTCACTTCCTGTGCAGGTCTGTGTTCTGTGAGGAGATAGTGTGTTGCCGTGGCGACCATGTGAGGCTCGCGGTCCGCGTCCGTGTGTTTGCCTACCCGGAGAACGCATGTGCAGTGTGGCTCATGTTTGCATGTAAATACCGCTGTGTACTCTGACCATCGCACAGACGGTCCCCAAAAAGTACCAGACAGAAGGGAAACCACAGGCCTGGTGCTAGTCCATCAGAGGACCTGGTGCTAGTCTATCAGAGGACCTGGTGCTAGTCTATCAGAGGACCTGGTGCTAGTCTATCAGAGGACCTGGTGCTAGTCTAACAGAGGACCTGGTGCTAGTCCATCAGAGGACCTGGTGCTAGTCCATCAGAGGACCTGGTGCTAGTCCATCAGAGGACCTGGACCCACGATGAGACTGAAATGAAATGAACTCGTACTCAGACAGACGTTTGTCTCTGCTGTGATCCTCAGGCCTTTATAGACTTGTACAGACGTTTACACGTAACTGTATTTAGATATCTATTTTTGTAAATAAATGGAACTTTTTATTTAATATCTCACTGTGTGCTTTTTAGAGCTTATTGAAGTCATTCTCTGTCCTTTCAACCCTCACTTTGGATAAAGAAACGCCTAAACAAAGAAAATGGAAAAAACATAAGAAAGAGCAACTGAGAAGGATCCTACGGACAACACATGTCATGTGTACCGAATAACCAACGTAATAAAATAGAAATAGAGAATCCAGTTGACAAAAATGATACATAGAATGGGAACAATTGTTGGATTGGATTGTTTTGACCTGGTTGAAGTGGCCGTAATATAAAAGGAGATGGACTATGAGAACATTTAACAGCACACAAAGTAAAAACATACATACATCAAATTAAAAGAATGCAGAAGACCTGCTCTGTATCCAACACAAAGTTTGTTGCTTTTCAAGACATCAAACCTTTGACTTCTCAATAGCTTCTAATTAAAGAACACACACAGCTATAATGAGTTGCCCGCATTCTGAGGATTACTCATGTAAAATACAGCAAGCTGCAATAATGCTGTAATGGTGGAAATGATATAACATTAAAGCACGATTAACACTCCACACAACATTTTAACAGTAATCAAAAGGAAAGAAATTGCATTTATTTTATTTTTCTCTCTTTCGGCGACCATGTTTAAAATGCATGGCAGTGGTGGTGAAGTAATTAGCAATTATGCTGCAATGCTGCTCATTGCCAGGCTAATATTAACGTCATTCTCTGCACAGGTTGACATCACTCCATTATATCTATCTTTACATAGCAACAAGTTGTCTGCTGCTGTATTGATGCTCTGAGCGTTAAACACAGCTCTGAATATTGTAGATTGCAGGTAAGAATTTAGAAATGTTCTTTGCATAAAAGAGTGAAAACTGAGCCAAAGCCATTGAGGGATCCTCTGTGGTATATCCGTGTCTTGTAATACATGAACTCGGCACAAGATGGTGTGTTAAGACAGACGTTGGCTCGGCGGATGCAGCTGCGGCCTTCTGTTGCATCCTAAGCTGCTGGATGCAAACACAGTGGACCTGTGAGCCGGCAGAGCGTCTTCAGACAGGTTAACATGACACGTGGTCACTTCACGGGTCCACTCCAGCACTCACTGCCTGGTGGAGATCAAATCAATAGAGATGCAGAACCCCCCTCCCCCCACTGCAGGGAGAACTGACAGATTTAAATTGATTTTTATTTTACGTTTGAAGATATGTTTGGCTTTTCACAAGCCACAGTAAAGCCATCGTTCTGGCTGGAGAGCCACTGAAACCCCACAGGCCGGCGTCGATGCCTAATTCAAGGCCGACTGTGAAATTGCAGAGAGGGCGAAGTGACAGCAGCCTGGTTCAGTGAGTTATTGTGCAGAGAGGGGAAGTCAACTCGGAAAGTTGTGCCCTGATTGAAGTGCTCTATTAATTGACATGCAGAGGCGAGTTTTGTTTCTATGGAGTGTGCTTTGTTTTTTGTTTTTTTCAAACGCTCTGTGCTGTTTGGAGGTTCTGGGGGAATCGTTGACACATCAACCCCAAACTTTTTGACAAGAAGCCTGTGAGGATGGCCAATTAATTCCTTTTTTTTTCCTTCTTTTTCCGGGAGCTAATTTGCAATTCTGCATTTGCCCCAGAGTTGTTGAACATGAAGATCAGGAGGGAGGCTGAAAGAGCGAAATGGAGAGCTAATGAATAATTCCTCCCTTTTTCTTTTACTGAATGTCACTCACACACACACACGCACACTTCCGTTTCACTCATTACTGTAATACACAGGAAGAGCGTGCAGCAGAGGAAGTGTTTGATGCTGGGAACTCAGGTATGTGTTCAGCCCATATTAAACAGCAGCACTCAGGTGTAATTGACTAATAGGTCCTGTGGGATGTATGGAACCGGAAGAGAGGAGAGAGGGGATGCTGGGTTTCTATAGTGTAACAAAACCATCACTCACACCTCGCATCTCAACACCGCTGCTGATAACGCAGTGTTTGCATTCAGGCACAAACATTGTTTTTCAAGCGCTGGTCAGTTTAGAGGTTTGGGGCTGTTGAGCTTCTATAACATGCCTTCTTTCAGATAGTGGAAATAACACATCCACAATACACATTTAGTTGTTTATTTTACTACGTTGTCTATTTGCGTCTGTAGATTTCTCCTAAATTCACCAAACGTTACCATTAGATAATGCCTCATTTTCATTTCTGATATCTCAATTTTGTACCCTACTCACCTGTTACGTCATATTCATATCTTTAAATGCCATCTTCTCTAAATGAGTTTTTTCTCAGACTCTGATGCAGCAATCTCCACTTCAGTAGCTCTTACATGCACCAAACTTTACACTTTCATTCCTCTCTATAGTCTGAAGGTTTGTACTGAGGGGTTTGTTCATATATCATTCACAGCCTGATTTATGCTACATTTATTACTAAAAACATGGTGGGAATAGATTGTTTTTGATGTCTGTTGACAGCACTTTCTGATTTATGGAATGATACAAAGAGATATCCAACATTTCCTCTGTAAAATCCTTTGACTCTAATATGATAACAAAATAAAACATACATTTGGGCTTTACAGATTATATTTAGTAGATCATGCCCTACATTATTTAAGTGTAACATTTCAGAAAACTTGTCATTCAAAAAACATTTGTCTTGATGTAAGTAATCAACTGGGGAAGTTTCATGGTGATATCTATTAGTTAAAATATTTACCCTATTCACCTGTAGTGTATCCTATTCAATATTTCTGTATAAACTGTTGGTGTGTGTGTGTGTGTGTTACAGTCACACGTAGAAGAGGAAAGACAACGTATTGAATGAATGAATTATCAGCTTCACAGTGTAAACGCCTGTGTTTTGGGAGTTAGTGATGAAGTGGATGTAGACAGAATGGAAATTCTGATTCCGATTCCGTTTTAATTATCGTGGGCACACGTTGGTTTTCACACATACTGTATAACCGTCTTCCTATTCTGAGGTGGCATCAGCTGCTAATGAGTGTTTTCCATCTGCAGACAAACCCCCTTGCAGCTCACAAGTATTGCCAATAACTGCAACATCAGTCTCTATTGATGGTGTTGATTGGGACAAATATATATCGCAGCTCGCAGCCAACTTTGGCGTATTACTGTGCCGTGTTTGTTTTATTATGCCTTGTGGTCAAAGACGGAATTTCATTGAGAAATAATTTCTGTTTTTACTAAATATGTGTGTGGAGAGTAAGTACCATTTTAGTTTATTGAGGTCCCAAAATTCCTTGAGGATGCTGGTTTGGTTTCTGTTTTTACAACAATTAATTAAAAAAAGCAACCTTTTGAAAATCAAATGTGTTATGCCTCATGCTCACTATTCTGAACCTAAATTATAATCAGTTTTGAATATGTGGTGTCCATCCATTTTCACAGGAATATACCGTAAATATATACATGATCTGAACTTTTCCAGCTTTGAAGCATTACTGTAAGATGATAAGGCCACTACGTTACACACGGTGAATGTTCAGCATGTTGAGAAAAGAGGGGCTGAACTCTGCTGAGGTGTGTGCACACTAACGCATATTCAATTCAATTCATTTTTTAAAGCCCAAAATCACAAATTTGCCTCAGAGGGCTTTACAATCTGTACAAATACCTCTGTCCCGGGACCCTCACATCAGAACAGGAAAAACTCCCCCTAAAAACCCTTTAACAGGGAGTAAAACATTAGGGAGAGCAACAGAGGAGGATCCTCTATCAGGATGGACTGAAGTGCAATAGATATTGGGTAATAAACAGCTCATAACTCATTATCCACATACCCACTACAGATCCATGAGTCCAGTCATTTTTACACAAAATGAGTCCCCGGCTCACGATGCTCATCTCTGGTAGCGGTCCAGACAATAAAAAAGCTGGTTTCCTCAAGGCCCGGCCCTCTTAGTTTGCAAAACCACCTCATTATTCCGTTGTCACCGCGTGAACCTCACACAATGTGTAGGCCTCGGGGCTCCGTTAGAGTTTCTCAAGTAAATGAGAAGACTAATGGCGCATCTCCTTATCAGTTGTGTTTTTCAATTGTGGTAATACGTCTACTGACAGACGCTGATGTATCAACTAATTACAGCGTTTTAGCCATTACAAAAAAAAAAGCAGGGATTTTCATTGCGGTTACAGTATGTGTGTGTGTGTGTGTGTGTGTGTGTGTGTGTGTGTGTGTGTGTGTGT